TATGACACATCTTTTAGTTGGTTCATTTATCACTACAGCGAGTATATTTGGTGGTGGCATTATTTTTGCTTTCAGCACTTTATTGAGTAATAATGAATGGGGCTTTTACAATCTTTGAACTTTCAATTAATCGTTACCGAATATAATGACAGAAACTTTGTAAATATTGATCAAAGTAGTTTTAATTTTAATAAATAAAAGAAATGGAAAAATAATATTTAAAAATTGTTGATGATAGCTTAGATGCCAGAGATTTCAACTACTACCGTTTTATCATATTCATTGCAGATAATTGAAACCATAAAACAAAAGCTTTGTCATTCTTCGGCATTTATTAGACATAATAGCGACTTAATGGATCGATACATTTGAAAATAGTTATATTGTATTTTTTGTCGGAGGGGTGGCTAAGCATTGAGATTTGAGACTTCATTCGATTCCTTCACATATACCGGTTTAACTTTCTATAATTGTTGAGGAAGTGAAAAGTGATCTTAAGATTCTTCATAGGTTATTATTAATTGCTGCATCGATCCTCTAGAGGTAGATCATATACTTCATAATTGAAGTAATTTTGTTAAATTACAGACTGGTCATGAAGTATATTTTGATTAATTTCATTTCATTCCATTCCGATACACTAGCTAGTCAAATACATGTATTCAGATTAAATTACAAGATTTTCTACAATCGTTTAAATATAAGTATTCATCTATTCAAAAGATACAAGTGATTAATAACTGAATCGAACTCAGTAAGATTATTGTCTTGAAAAAAATATTAAGACGAACAATAAACAATCGAATTTATTGCTCAAACGAAGTAACTGAATATTTTCTTAAACAGATAAAATCACAGAAGTTTCAATAAATTTTCTTTTATTTTGTTATTGTTGTCGTTTAGACAAATAGCAAACTATTAATATATTTCATAGATTACACAATGAATAATCCTTTAAGAAATAAAGTAATATTATACAAAAAGCAAGAATGTAGTATTGTTCTTCTTTTCTTTCTTTCCTATACATCTTGACATTTGTTTTGTCAATTCATTTCAATGTCATATAGTTTATCTCTCGTTCTTTTTTATTTGCTCTCTTTTTCAAAAGTGAGTCAATAGTCATCATGTTTAAGAATATTCTACGTTCGAATATTTATGATTCTATTTCAAGCTTGTATCTGTTTAACATTTGTAATCATTAGCAAATATTACAGTTAAAGTGAAATCAAAAGAAGAAGAAAAAAACAAAGATATAAGCTTTAATCTTTGAAAGAATGACAGTAAAACTTAGGGGCGCGGCTTGTATAAGATTGCATGAAGTATTTGTCCTTCGAGAGTGGTCGTACGACATTGTAATAAATAAAAACTGCAATTTTGACACGCAATTTTTGGATTTCACTGTTTTTGCAATGATAAGAATTTCATTATCTAGGTGCCAATGTAGTCAGAAAATTTCAATATTGAATGCAATAAAAACATGAAAATAAAACATATCCGCAATATTACATTTACAAGAGAGAAAGAACAATGATAATTGTAACAGATTCGAAAAGCTAAGATAGTAGTTCGAGTAAACATGAAGATTAGAAACACTTCTTTCGTTTGAATATATCTCCATGTTTCAACTTTCTATTCGCTTTTTTTTCCTTTTCATTAGTTTAGCATAAAATAAAATTAAAATAAGTTCGATTTATAGAAGTTGATGTATTTAAAAATAGAAAAAAAGAACAAATTACACTGGACTGTCTAAGTCACAATTTCAGTTCATGTTGTTCATTTATATATCCCCTTGTAATCCACAAATCACATTTGCAGGAAGAGCTTTATCTAAATAAAAATCCAATAAAAAGTAGATATTCATTATAAATTATCTCTAGTTTTACCGATTTGTTTTGGATAATCAAGTTTCAAATTATTCATTGTTTCAATAAATGCTTCTCGTGATTTAGTTAATCGTGGATTATGAGTTTTTTCTTCAACAATACTTGAACATGTTTGTCCTAAATAAATAATCAAATTAAGTTTATCATTTTCTCAACAAAAAAAAAAAAATCAATAAATACCTGTATAATCATGTGCAGGATAAACAAAATAATGATCAGGTAATGAAAATATTTTTGTTTGTATTGATGTATAAAGTTTATCTGCACTTCCTTGTTGAAAATCAGTTCGACCACAACCTCGAATTAAAACAGCATCACCTGTAAACACTGCTCCATAATCATGCCAAACAAAACTCATACAACCTTAATTCATTTCTTTTTGTTTTATTTACTTTAATTATTTTTCAATTTTATTCTTACCATTTGTATGACCTGGAGTTGCACGACATTCAATTACCACTGGTGTTTTACCTGATTCTCCTATTTTAATGAATTCGCCATCTGCAACATAAACATCTGCTTTAGCACCACTTTGATTCGAAAGAACACTTTTACATCCCGGAAGTAATGTTTTTAGTTTACCACTTCCTGTTACATGATCAGCATGAACATGCGTATTAACTGAAAGGAAAAAAACATATGAACAAAGCGATGAGTCATTTTAACAAGTGGATTTTTCAATACCTGCATATCGTAATTTTAAACCAAGTTGTTGAATTAGTTTAGCATCACGTTCAGCAGTTTCAATAACAGGATCAATAATTAAAGCTTCTTTTGTTGTTGGATCGGCTAATAAATATGTATAAGTTGATGATACTGGTTCATATAACTTTTATAAGAATGAAAAAAAAAAAATATTAATTATTACGATTGTTTTTTTCAAAAAACTTCATTTTGATTCATACTTGTCGAAAAATATATTTTACCACCATTTTAAATTCTTTTCAATGATTTTGATATCGTACAAGATATTGAACAAAAATTTATCTAAAATATTAAAAAAGAATAAAACTTACCTCCATGTTTTTAAAACACAAAAAAGCATAAGAAAAAGACAGTTATCATCAACAAAAAACTTTCCAATGCATTGGATCACTGTGCTGTTGTCGTTTATATAGGATTTATACGTGCCCCTCATTTGTACCCATTATGTGAATTCGAAGAATGGGTACTTTAGAGGTGAGTAGATAACGATACTGCAGCGACAAACAAGTCAATAAATTCATCTTGTTATAATGAAAGGAATACTATTTTTTTTTGTCAAGGTAAAGCAAACATGCATCGTCAGCATTATTAAATCACACGTTCATCACTCATTATTTTAGCAGCATACAGACAAACAGTGAGAGAATGCGTTTAAAGCAAAATACTGATTCTTCTATTTTGAAGATATTTAACAGAAGAAAATATATATTAATTAGATATAATTTCTATGATTCATGAAAACTTTAATAACAAAAATATTTTTTTTTTATAATTAAGTAATCATTGCCAGAAGTTCCTCCCAAAGCTAGGAAGCTAATAGTACATATTTGGGGAACCGACCATCACAGCCAAGTGACCTTTGTATTCTGGAAGAAAAGACAAAAATAGAGAGACGATTGTTATCAATGACTGAATGGTCTTTTATGTCATTTAGCGTAAGCGTATGCAGAGATTTGATGACATTACGATGCAAAAATTGCAGTTACTTGTTTTTCTTTCTTTCCTTCCTTCTCTCGTTGCTTGACTTTATGAATGTCCCCACCGTTCCACATGTTTACAACTGTTTTCTCTCTGTACTGTATTCAAAACTCTTTTAGTATTGCATTACATTGACGAACAATGTTGAGAAAGAATATTGATAAGCCAGATAAAGAAAAAATGTCTTTACAAGGAACGCCTGAGCTGGAAAATATTAAAATGTCGCCACTAAAGGAGAAAGTTTCCGAGTAAGTAATATATTTCAAATCTAAAAATTTTTTTCTGTATACATGGAAATTGCATTTATTATCGTGATAGTGACGATAATACTTCACAATCAGATATGGCTCCAAGTACTGTAAAAGTTCCTCATGATAATCGAATAAGTTTCCTTGATATTCGTACTATTTTATATTCTATTATATTTGGTATTTTATTTGGATTTTTTATGAACAAAGGTACAGTATTTGTAGCTCCTACTATTCGTAAACAAATGTTATTTCAACGTTTTGCAATGTTAAAAATGTTTCTTGCTGCTGTTGGAACATCAATGTTAAGTGTAGCTTTACTTACTTTTACTTCTCATAAATTATATGAAAAAATCGTTAATGGTTATATTGAACATAATAGTCGTCGTGGAAGTAAGTGAATCTTTTTTTTCAACTTTTCATAGATTTAATATAGTTAAGAATAAAAATTATAGTTCTTCATTATATATTTGGTGGTACTCTTATTGGATTAGGAATGATAACATGTGGAAGTTGTCCAGGAACAGTTTTTGTTCAAGTGTAATTATTATTATTATTTAATATTTAATATTATTTTTTATTTTTTTCATATTGTTTAGTGGTTCAGGTATTGTTAATTCTCTATTTACTTGTTTGGGTGGTGTTCTTGGTACATATTTTTATTATATATTTGTACATGAACAAGTTTCACTTGAAAAACTTCCTTCATCATCTCTTGTTCTTCGACGTATTTGTGACATATTTCATATTCATAGTATTATTGTTCATACAATATTTGGTATTATTCTTCTTGGTTTATCAATTGGTTTAGAATTTGTTATTCCTTGGAAATCTGATTTAAATTCTAGTCTATTAAGAAAAGGTACTATGAATCCAAATAGTGCATTAGGTCATTTTTTGGGTATGGCTGCTTGGCCACCATCAGCTTGTGGTGCTGGTGTTGGTATTTTACAATTATTTTTTATATTTTTTCTTGAGAAATCCTTAGGAATCTCATCAGCATTTACTGTATTTGCTGCACAAATATGTCGAATTAAAAAAGTCGGTCAAGCATTACCATCATTAAATTCATTTGCCTATGGTTTAAAAAATCATGTATCTCTTCTTTTTGCATTCGGAGCTATTTTTGGTAGTGCTCTATCATCAAGTTTATCAGGAACAATTCCATTAGGTGCAGAAAATGGAACAAATATATTTAGTAGTATTCTTGGAGGATTTATATTATTGTTAGGAGCACGTTGTGCTGGAGGATGTACTAGTGGTCAAGGAATTTCAGGTAGCTATAAAAACCTATTTGCATTGGCTAGATAATGATAAATCTCTTTGCTTCTTTTTTTTTGTTTTCATTAAGGTATGACACATCTTTTAGTTGGTTCATTTATCACTACAGCGAGTATATTTGGTGGTGGCATTATTTTTGCTTTCAGCACTTTATTGAGTAATAATGAATGGGGCTTTTACAATCTTTGAACTCTCAATCAACCGTAACTGAACTTAATGACAAAGCTGATCTGAATTTTAGTAAATAAAGAAAAATGATCATTAATACTAATATGCTTGTAACAGTTTTTGTTTGATCTTATTGATTGTGATTTTTTTAACAGTGAAGTTGCTGAAGTAGGCTTGATAAATAATTTCTGTGATTGTAATTTTAGAATTTGTACGAAGTTTAAAGTACAGATGAATTGAGGAGAATTTCAGTGAAAAAAGCAATTATGACGCCACCGACATATGACAAAATACATTTATATATCTGAAGATAAGATAGTATCGAGAAGTTGAAAAAGCTGGTACTGATATCACATAAAGATAGATTTGAGGAAATGAATGATGATAGATGTTGGTGTTTGTTACATATAAAAAAGCCTTGTTAAACTTGACATTTGTCTTCATAAATGACGCCGCCGTTCTTCAGCATCGCTGGGATATTAGGATATTAAAAAGAAAGAGATTATTAACGATATTGAACGACGGAATTAGATGTTATGAAAGCAAATCATATTGATTGTAATAATGATAAATATTAGCAATATTATTGTATGATTGACTCAAGTCAGAATGTTTAGTTCACTATAAAGATATTGCAAACGAATGGTCAATGATAATCAGTAAAACTCTAGCGGTTTTGAGTATTTCTTCGGATATTGATAAACATTTTGCATTTTACTAAGATATATGACTGCAGTTGGATAATCCTCATCGAACACTTTCTCATACAATTTTAATGCACGGATGTGATCATCTGTTCATTGATAATTAACAGCAATAATATGATGATTGTTGGTGATGTTTGAATAGTTGTATTCCAGTGTCAACATGCTAATCTCTAGTGATTTTTCGTACCATATTAAACTTATCTCATAATTGTCTTTGACGTCTGCCATTATCCTTCGTACATGAAAACAGATAAATGTATGAATATATTTATTTTATTTGCTCATATCTTTAAACATATCAGTGAATGAATAGACATCTGTTTCTTCAGTACTTATTGTCGTTATCATGAGCTGAAGAGTATTTGTAATTGATAGTGATTATCAGAACATAACATCACGCGAATATTCCTGGTTTCATCATAATTCGAATGAAATGTATTCGGAAAGAAAACGAAGAGTTTTAACCTATTCAAATGAAGGAAACACTAATTTTTATTAAGGAAGGAGGAATCGGAGAAAAGCACCCAAAGAAGATTACAGCTCAAGCGTGAAAAGTTGGAACTATCCATCCCTTCGATTAGTCCTAATTGAATTTCAACGAAAGAAGACACTGACTGAAAATCCTAATTGAAATCGCTAGTATTCAACTAGAAGCCGTCAGAAAGTTTGACACAAATTGAGAAAAATAGCCAATAATAAGATTAACAAATGTAAATGGATACAATGTACGATGACAATACGTATTTAGTTCAAAGGGATCAGTGTATTGAACAATTGATTTCACATGAAACGTATAAACACTATCGAGAATAAGCTAAATTAGCATAAAGAATTGAATTGGCAACAAGTCGCAAAGATATAGTGATTGATTTTCTTGAGTTTTCTCCTTAACTTCTTCAAAAATATGAAAATATTATCAACAATACCCATCGTACCAGCCATAATTAAGTATATGGAAATTTTAGAATGGTATGAGTGTGCGTGAAGAGAGAACTTACACCCCACACCGACACCCTCAAAAAGACTCGTCGATATATAGCTCCGGAAAAAACAGTTGCAATCGCTATTTTAAATATATCACCATCATCACAGCTGGGCAAAATATTCGAAGTACACGTACTCAAGACTCTTATATTTAACAGTTTAGACGCACAGTTTTTTTGCGGAAAATTGAACCTCTTGTATATTGTTCGAAAGTAAAATGAACTGCTGATAGCTTCTGTTTGATCCATACAAATATACATTTGATCAATCATACGATAGAAAGTCCTAGAACACTACATATACGATTGATGTTGACGTAATCCATTGGTCTTTTTTCCTTTCTCCGTTTTATATTAAATAATATCTGTAATTTTGAATAACTTTCTGTTTGTTGTTGTTTCTATTGTTAACACTTTCATAAACCCAAATCAGGTTTTGTGAAAAGTTGTTCTTAGAGCAACGGCTTATTTTTCTACTCTTTTTTTGTGAAACACAGCTTGAAAGGAGTACTGAAGTTTAAAGGATAGAAAGTTGGACACACTCTATACATAGAACCATCACGAACCACAGAGCGTCTATGATTAAATGCTGCTTTACCCGTAACAAACTGATTCTTACAATGAGATTTTCTTTCCCAGAAAACTCTCGCGCGTTACCAACTTAGATCATGAAACTAAACTATCCTAAAATTTATGTGCTAAAACTAAATATGTGGTTTTCTTTAACAATGAAGACAACCGAAATCTCAATGTATTATTATTATTGTAAATAACGGAATGACACAATTTTTTAAGGTTAAAGTGTCGAAGATAATCAACTGTATTGTGATCATGTGATGAAATGAAATATAATACATTGATATTTCGATCACTATTATTTTTTAATAGAAAACTATATATTGAATATTACCAAACAATTGTTCAGATATTTGAGATTCGTGATCTGGATTAATAACTTGCGAGAGTTCACTATAAAGCAAAATTTTATTGTTAGAATCGATCTATTACATATAGACCAGCATTTATCGGTTTATTATCAGTAGACCAACCGATCCGATCGGGTCTGAAATTTTTAGACCCGTAACGGTACTAGTCGTCAAAACCTTAGACCGAATCTATCTATGACACACTCCCTCCATACTCTCTATCCAATTACCATGACAGATCTTTTAATTAATTAACTAACTACTTAATTAACTAATATTTAATGAATGCCTTATTCATTTTTCATTAATAAATCATTAATGATCCCTTGATAGACACGATACACACATTGAAACCCCATTACAGGCCGTGACAGAAATTTTGAGATTCTGTCACCAGCTGTGAAACGTTCGTGACACATGATCTAAGGCTCAATATAAAAACTACTTTTTGATTTCACTGCAAGAGGAATAAGTAAAAGTATGGGTGATAAATGAGCAACAAAATAGATCGATTAAAACAAATTCTTTCTGAATAACACGAATAACTACATCGTGTTTCGCATTTTAATTCTGTAAGAATCACGCTGACCGATTTTTGAATTGTTTTCGAAGGATTGTTACTCGTACTCGTACTCAAAAAATTCCGTACTTGCCCAGCTCTAATCATCATAAAAGCACGTTTAAAACAAAATAATTACATATCCCGACAGCGCTTGGAATTTTCATTAATCATGTATATTTTATGTTTTAGTTTACACTTATTTGCTAGAAAATAAATCGAATGCAATGAAAGCATCTCGATCAACAGATTCCCACAGACGTAGTCTTCTTCATTGTCATCAAAAATAACGTTTTTAAAATTTTCATCATTGTACAAATATCTCTAAAAACAAAGCAATTACACATTTTGATAGCGCTTGAAATTTTCTATCATTCGATATGTTTATCTATTGCCTGGCGATTATTTATTAAAAAAACAATTTGAATAAAATGACATACCCTCAATTGACAAGTGCTGAAACTTGCTATTTTTTCTGCTTTTTTCAATTTATGATTACTATGGAAATCAAATTTTTTTAAAGTCCTTAGTATATTTTGATTGTGTTTGAAATTTTCTATCGTTCTATACATTCTTTTTTTCTTGTCATGCATTTAAATACTGAACAATAATTTGAATATAACATAGTTTCAGCTATTTGATCAAGCTTTAAAAAATGAATTTTTTGTAATATTATTATCATTTTTATTCAAAGTTTAGTATAGGTGAGGCCTCAATTTTTAAACAAGTAATTGGATATCTTCATAATTGCTTCACATTCTCTATCACCGTGAATTTTTGGAATAAATAAAGAAAAAAATGATTAAAAGATCGATTTTAAAAAGAATTCGTAAAACATAAGAAACTACGCAAGTTCGACTTGTGAGAACCTGCTGACTGATGAAATTACCTTCATTGAAGTCGAATTCTTTTCCTGCATGTAAATGTAAACTACAGCATTAATATACACCATGATTGAAAATTCCAAGTGTTTTCAGAATATGTAATTATTTTGTTTTAAATGTGCTTTTCTGGTGACTAGAGAGTGTGGGTGAGGGTGTGGGTGTGGGTGTGGGTGTGGGTGTGGGTGTGGGTGTGGGTGTGGATGTGGGTGTGGGTGTGAGGTGTGGATGTGGGTGTGGGTGTGGGTGTGGGTGTGAGGTGTGGATGTGGGTGTGTTATCTTCACTAAGACACACATCCGCATCCACACCCGCACTCATCCACATCCACCCACACCCACACTTACACCCACACCCTGCAAATCCATTTGCACTAACATCCCGAATAATTCATTCTAACTTTGATGTTCTTTTATGTATAACATTTGAAATAATATGAAACCACGACTTACACTTATTTTCGTGATTGACATGAGAATGATCATGAAGTAAGAATCATCTTTTTAAATATTGACCTATTGATCAGTTTCTTTAGTTTTCATATTATGAAAAATTGATGAGAAATTTTAAAAAGATGTTGAGTTGAGGTTTCAAAGTACTCGGTGAAATTTTTGAATTTGCCTAGAATGCAAGTAATTAACGGATCCATAGTTTTTAACAATCAAAACTGAAGACATAGGAAAAATAGTTTTTTTTCAATAATATATATGATATAATTAGTATGGCTCCGATGAAACTTTCATGTTCATATATCTCTTGGATAAAGCAACTTGTACTTAGTTCAAGAAATAAGTTTAAATGCTTATCTTATCACATCTAAATGTAGAGAAAAAGAAAATTATAAAACTGTTGAATCTAATAATAGTATATGGTACTGAGTTTTTCAACAAAATTCAGTCATAATCACCGACTGTCTTCAAAGATTTTGTTTTTTAATGTCTTTTGACAATCATTGGTTTCAAAATACTTTCGTTCTGCTCATCATTGGAGAAAAAGACATCTTCATATCTTCTTCTTTGATTGCCAACGATACCGCAAATAACTATCTACCTCAGGTTTCAATTTACTCATTTTTTATTTGACTATCTTGAAGTCTCTTACTGATATAAGCCTCATTGCTAAGTAATTTTTTTTATTTCTCTTGTTTTATTGTCTTAGTTGATTATCATAATAGTTTATTAGATTTGATGGAAAATGATTTGAACAAAAATCAGAATCATACCGTTGATTCTTTGAGAAATTTAATCAAAGAATTGATATCAAAAAACGTTTCAATTTTACAAGTGGCAAATGATAATACTAGTGTCATTAATTTGAGTGAAAAAAATTGTCTATGGATTGAACAATTATCTCAAACAAGTCATATTAATAATGAAGATCAATATTTCATTACATCAGATTCTCGACTAATGTTTGATTTTATTTATATTCAATCACAGATTATTCAAACATATCTTTTATATTGTTATATTAATTATCGTCATATTATTCAAAAATATCAATGTCATACAAATAGAATAAAATCAACAACACATGATGAACGTTTAGATCTTGATGAAAAATATTTAGTTCGATTAAGTGATGAGCAACTTGAAAATGAATGAAATTATTTGAAAAATATTTTATTAGACAAACTTTATGATACTCATAAACTTCTAAGACAAATAGCATCAACATTGAACACTCACCAGAATGACTTTTCAACAAATCATCTTTTTGAATTTGTTCGAATGACTGATAAAGATAATGATATTCTTCAACGATTAGAACAATATGAAATAAAAGATTTTCAATTATGTTATATTGATCATGTTATTGAAATCTATGAAGAATCAGTTAGTGGATTTCAACATTTATTTACAGACATACCACATTTACTTCGAATTCATATTGATTCTCAATTAAATGATAAACTTATTCAAAAATTAAGTGAGAATATTATTAAAATTGATTATAACTATGATGTTGGCAAAATTCAGAAAACAATTCAATCAATCACAGAATTTCTTAATGAATTAAAAATAATTGAAGATAGTCTTCAACAACAATCTACACGATCATTAATTGAAACATGTAAATATTTAGCCATTGAGAATCCATTACTTTCATACATACCACATAGAATTAAATGTGAAAATTATATTGGTCTTTATATTCATTTAATACTTATAAGATCAAAACTTCAAGAAACAAAATTTAATATCGAAGAACAAAAAATGAGGGTGTGGGTGTGGATGTGGGTGGGTGTGGATGTGGGTGGGTGTGGGTGCCATTCCACAGTTTACACTCACACCCACACCCTCAATATGGGATTGTATCAAAGATCTTTCTGAGGAAAAAAACTTTGTTTCGATATTGATGATCGCTCGCTTCAAAAGAGTATTGAATCTTAAATTAATCATTACATGAAGCAACAATTTATTTATTTGAAGAATCGAATTCGAGATTGATTGAGATAATATTAATCGTACTACTAAAACAATTCTTTAATATTTTCATGTTAGATTAACAACAATCGAGAAATAAAATAAATCCTTAACATCAGAAGATAGCAACCATTTTGAAATTATCTTTCAGAATGATTCTCATTAATTCATTTTTCTTTTAATCTAATAAATATCTTCGCATGTATGTCGATAATTGTTGAATATCTTGTTCTCTCATTCAAGATATAACGTCTATAAAGAGTTAACCTTCAGTGGGAGAAAGATAACATGTTTTTTCCGGATGATTATATATGTCAAGACTAGAAAAAGATTTATTGCTTACACGCGTCACTGCTCATTTGTCGGGCCATGCAGTAGAATATTCATATATATATACACAAGCATAGATCTTCTGTATAACGAAGAGCATTATGGACATATTTCACACTCAATAATTGTGGCGATGATAATATTATTTCATCGATATTTTCTGAGAGAATAATCGACAGTAATGAGAGAAAGATAAATAGCAACGATATGCGAGTCGACATTATTCATTCTCTTATACAGAAGCAAATACGTACAATCAAGCCAACAGACAAATAATGAGTTCAGCAGAAAAAGGTAAATTTTCTAACGACTTTTTTTTGGATAACGTTAGTCATTATTGTTAATAGATAGCAAGGCAGCGCAAACAGCTGCCATCTTCGAAGCTCAGATGGCTGGTCAAGAGACACCGGACTGTGACCCGCACAAGAAAGCGGATAGAGAAAATCAAGGTTGGCTTTCAGGCGATCAATTTACGATTGTTGAAACTCCTATTGCTCATGTCAATGCAACTGTCGGAACCAAAGAATAAAACATTGCGCTATCGAGTGAAAAACACTTGATCTTCTATATAAACGAGCTTTTTTTTTTATCTATGTGCATGTTCAAACATTTTTCATGTGAAATAAATCCTATCTATTAATCTAAGTTCATATTTGTTTTTGTGAATTGGAAATTTTGCATACTTTATTCATCGATCAACAAAATATTATTAAAATTGATTTCTTCCGTGGTGAATAAAAAGATGAAAAAGCAAAAAGTAAACATTCAGATACCTAATTCATATTCAATCGAAACACTTTTTGACCAAGTATCGACTCGATCATCTTACATCCAATGTTTCCAATCGATAGGAGGAGAATTGATAGTTCGTAGACAAGAGAACATATCCAGCTGTTAGACGCCATTCAGCTTCATATTATGGCTACGAGTAGATGTCTTTGAGTGTAAGAAAAATTGAAAAGAATTCAGATCCAAGGCCAACTGATGATTAGCTCTGACCGTTTGAATATAATTCTCCCTGAGATCGAGGCTTTTCATAAAAAAAAACCAAAAACAGAGAGTTCTTACCTGAACATTGTCTAGAGGCTAATATAATAGTCTCTAGATAGTTCGAAAAGTTGCAACAAATGCGTCCATGTCTTTTTGGAAAAATTCCATTTTCGATTAAAAAAAGTAGCGGTTTACCATAAGAAGACACAGTAATCGAGTCTTCTAGAAAATCAACTATTCTTGAGACAGACATTGATACTTTCGTTGAAACTTTTAGGACTAGATAATGACTGTTAAATTAGCCTCTAGACTAATTTGAGGTAAAAACTCTCTGTTTTTGTTTATTTTTAGAAATGCCTCGATGTCAGTGAACATTTCAATAAAACGGCCAGAGCTAATCATCAGTTGGTCGTGAGCTTGAATTTTTTTTAATCTAGATGTGGGTTTTGGTATGATTTTTTTCGTTCGATCACACATGCACACCCAGCCACACCCTTTTAATTCATTCAATTGAATAAGTATAAATCATATCATGTACTATGCAGTTTATTGAATCGTCTGTTAGAATTTAAAAAAAAAAGTAAATTACATTTATTTTAATCAAGTTATTTCAAATAAAAAGGATTATTTTGTTGGAGAGATTCATCATATCAATCATTGAGGGATTCATATTTGTTGTAGACAAAATTGTAGTTTTATTTTTGTCCAGAATTTTTCGAAGCAGAATTAGAATTCCAGTACTTGTCTACTTTAGATACTGTCCTCATCTTCATAATGTGTTGTATGCTGTGTTAAGCATACCAAATAGCCTACGAACGTTATTTTCAACGTGAACCAAGATCATAATTCCAGATTTATCTATAACATAAATATATACAAGTTAACAATGAGAGCAAATTCTAATGACCAATATGGAAGAATACAAAAATATTTAATCAAAATGAAATTCATGTTTCACCAAAATAATAATTTCAAATTTACTTCACTAATATTAGAAAACTATTATGAGTAAATTCTATTCACTACCAGGTCGACAATTGTTTGAATAGTCATCATGGTTATCAATCCATTCAGGTTGATAAGACGATGAATTGTCATTTTTTCAATTGAACAAAAGAGTGGAATCTGCTTTTGAATTAAGAATACGGCGGTGAGCGTAGTGTCTTTTTATAACTGTTTCAAGAATTGCCGAATCTATCTCATATAAATTGGATACTCGCTTTGAAGCAGAAAGATAGTATCATTTTTTCTTTGCATATGGATAGATATCTTCTATGGCTCTACGAATTAAGTATACAACCTTGACAATGGTGACTTCTGAACTATTCAAACCACCGTCCATGCAAAGTTTCAGTTCAACCGATAACCCATTTCAAGAGTAAAGTTAAGAGTATTTTTTCAAATTTATAGACAAGCTAATATCGTTTTTATTAGCTGAAGATCATGACAATAGTTTTTTTTAAGTTCGTTTTTTTATTGCTGCACGTGTTGAAAAACAAGTGGGGATACCCACGTTAAACGATGACAATAAGGACATTTTTTTACATGAATAGACTGAATAATATCTGTTGCTGATTTATGCATTTAGCCGTGACATTTATATCTTATATATTCCCTTGTGCAACTGCGTTTTGCATATTTCAAATCAATTTAGAACGTGCGTTGAGCTACGCGCATAAAGCCATTTTATTGTATATCGATCGACAACGTAGTCTCGGTTTCTGAAATATGAATAAAGCCATGGGTGTAGTATTTTTTATATAATTCTTTGTAGAATCGCTAATTGAAAATTTCAGATCTCCTGAGTTCTCACGTATAATCAGATCAGACAAATACATAGATGATTCTTTTTCCATATCCATACGAATCTTCTATAACTTTGCGAACTAACAATAGAGGTGTTTGTGTTGATAAGCAAAAGGATAGAACATATTCAGGTCAAATGAAAGCTCTCATCGCCAAACTAACAAGATTAAAATATTAGTGGCCCTTGGTTTGCCTAGAGGGAGATATTCGATTTTTACGGTATTCACAATTTGGGCATATAGGAACATTAGGATTATTTAAATTAGTTTTTTATGCAATCAACTGAGTATTTCAGTAGTAGGCTACAAGAATCTTTCTGAAGTTTATCAATAGCATTAGGATCACATTAATTTCAAATGTCTTCTGCAACTTAAGAGAGGGTCCGTCAGAGGATCTACCAAGCCGGCAGCACTCAAAATTTAGATTTTCGATTTGCTATTCTGAAACGATAGGCTATGATTAGGACCTTATAAATCCAAAATATGAGCTCTTTATACCTCTCCTGTAAAAAGTTTTGAATTACACAATGTGACACCTCGTTTGATCGTTGGTGAAAAAAACGGATTTTTAGGATGTTCTCGGTATTTTGAATTTTTCTCTGCAATCACTCGTCCGTTTGAGTCAGGAGACATCTCAAAAGATGCAGAAATGTTTTCTCTACAAAACTGGTTAACTGAATCATTTTTACAAGGTACTTTATTAATTCATAGTTTCAATATACGAGCAAAAAGTACGATTCGTTTTTGCAGCAATTTTTTAATATTTTGCATATTATTATACTTTGACTCACTGTACCAAAATAATTTTTATATTTTCTGAAAGCCCTTGAAATTCTGCATCTTTAAGGGAAAATCCAAATGATTAAATTCTGGTAGCGAAAGTTAGCCCGTACCATAAATGTTGATATTTGATGGTCATGTTCATTCATTTCATCTCGTATTTGATTTCCATACATTATATACTTATTCGAATAAGAAAATTGACCTCAGATTCATAATCAGCATAAAAAACTACATGAACTGGACTATTTTTAAGAACTTTTCAAGATTTATTGCAGGTCACCTGCTTGACGAAGCACTAAGTTTTATGTTATCATCGTATATTGGCTGCAGTTTATCGACTATAGACATTATATAGGTAATTTATTTGCAAATATAAATTCATAATTTTATACAGTTTTCCAAGGGCTATAATTCGTATTATTCTACATTTTTATTTAATTTAGTTTATATGATAGAAAATGTTATTTATATTCAACAGTATTGTAAAACCACACATCAATAAATTCATCGATATGTTTTTCATTCTATAATGACATCTGATCATTTTAAACTTGGATCAATGACATCGAATCTTTGTCCTCTTTCTATTGATGGTGTTGAAACAAAAATTTTATCGAATCATTTAAACATATTTACAAATATATGGTAACTTCAAAGATTTATATATTGGACATTCTTCAATGAAAGTCAATACCATAACAAATTATTTTTCAAAATAAAAAATAAAAAATAAATTTCATTTGAATAATAACGATAGAAATAGATATATTGATTATATATAAATGTATACTGTGTTATTCTATATTTCTATTGATACAACATATATAAAAACACTAAAATAAAATAAAAAGGGTGTGGGTGTGAGTGTGAGTTTCGGAATAAGTATGAGAGAACATAAGGCACTTATCCACACCACCACCCACACCCACACCCACACCCACTCATACCCTGCCGTATTTAATTGCATACGGCTGTTCAGGACCGAGCTTTTGCAACTTGAGTACTGATCTATTTGAGGTTGTAATCATGTTATAAATGTTAACTTTTGAAAACTGCCATTAAAACAAAAGGAATAGATTGTTGAAGAATGTGACTTCTCTTTATATTGTCTATATGTTTTCATTAATTGCTTTAAGTTGTGTCTAATTATGACGACGAATATATTGATTAAGAATTCTTTTTTTTCTGTTGATACTGAGAGCATACCATTGACCAATTTTCGTTCGGCGCTCTATTAAATTTATTGATTATAATTTGTCGATATTAGGAGTAGAGAGTTTCTATGTGAATTTTTGTTGCACATTTCGCAATGCTGGTTGATCTCACAGTTATGCTTCAATAATTTAATATGAATAGATAAACAATTATTTCAAAGAGAAGAAAATGGTATTTCTTAATTTTTATATAGCCGAAACAAAAACAACTACAGGTTCATTAGATCATTTCTTAGTCCGACTGAAAATAAACGAGCACCGAAAAATGAAGCTTATAATTGCTTCATAAAACATCAAAACACTAGGAAGAAAGTCTACATTTGTGCACGATTTGTTCTGGAAAGAACTCTATACATATAAATCGATGTTTCTTGTGTAGATTGACATTGAGGGTGTGGGTGGATGTGGGTGTAGTTGAACAGAAAACGCACACCCACACTCTTGTTGAGAACATGCTGAGTTTGGTGATTCTGAAGAAGATAGCGTTGCGACTGAGCGAAATCATTTGAGACACTGCCGTTTTTTCTTATGATTGCTAATGATCAGGGTGGATTTTTCAGTGAAAAAGAAATCGCGAAAAGTAGTCAAAACAGTGTCTCTCGGACATCAACAAAGAAAATCGACAAGATTCAAGCAGTGATCATGTACAGAGTAGGGGTGGTACTTTACTTTTACTTTATAAAATAAAGGTAAATGAATCCTTTACTCTTAAAAAGTAAAGATCAATGATCATTTAT